TTGTTGTTGATGATGATAACGGTGCCCCGAAGATGATGATGTTGATGATATTGATGGTGTTGATGATGGTCATACGGTTTGATGATGATGGCGAAGATGATGCTGATGGTGTCCCGATGATGATGAAAAAGTTGATGGTGATGCTGTTGATGATGATTTTGACAATGGTGGCCCAATGATGATGAAAATGATGCTGATGACGTTGATGGTGTCCCAATGATGATGATGCTGTTGGCGATGACGGGGTGATGATGCTGATTTTGACGGTGCTGGCAATATGATGGTGATGATGAATTTGGTGATGATCCTGGTGTCCCAATGATTTGGATGATGATGGTGATGATGGTGGTGACGATGATGATGGTGTTCCGATGGTGATGATGTTGATGATGTTGTTGATAATGATGATGATAATGGTGTCCCGATGATGATGATGATGATGATGGTGTTGATGCTGTTCATGATCATGATGATGGTATGATGATGTTGGTGTTCCGATAATGATGATGGTGGTGTCCCGATGATGATGATGTTGATGCGGATGATGATGGTGACGATGATAATGTCCCGATGACGATGATGGTGATGATGACGATGATGTTGATGGTGACGAGGTAATGATGACGATGGTGTCCCGAGGATGCGGATGATGATGTTGATGACGTTGATGACGATGATGTTCATGATGATGACGTTGATTGCGATATCGATTGTGATATCGATCGTGTGTGAGATCGATTGTGGGATCGCTGGTGCTATCGATAGTGAGATCGATTGTGACATCGATAGTCAGATCGATCGAGCGAAATAGATCGACCGATGTCGATTGTGAAATCGATCGAGTGCGATCGACCGAACGAGGCCAATAGTGAGATCGATCGTGAGACCGATCGAGTGAGACGTTGGTTCCTCCCCCCCCGGACCTTATCACCCGAAAGGTGGCCGTATAGGTATATATTGATAAATTTATGTATATGTGTATATATATGTATATATATATATCCCTGCCTTTCAAGTGTTTGCCTGGGTGTCCCCGCTGTCTCTCTCAATACATCCCTATGCCCATTTCTCCTCTTTTCTTTCTTACTCTCTGTCTCTCTCTCTCTCTCTCTCTCCCTCTCTCTATTTTGAAGGAAAAAAACATAAACAAACGTGCACGCATGCATTATTGAATACGTGGGTAACTTACCAAAAACACAGAAGCAACACCAATATGCCATGTAAAACCGACCCAACGGCAAGCAAGTCGTAAACCCGTCAAACACACGAAACGCAAACTTCAAGGAAACGGCTGAATACACGGGGCATCTGGTAAACAAAATGTAGAAATGTGTGAATACACATGCACAGCAATACCAAATTGGGGGGACGAACGGTCATTCCCTGCCCCTGGGTGCGTGGCTAAGCTGAGCTTCTGCGGTGCGGATAATTATGGTTAATGCTACTGTAATTGAACTCTCACTACTGACGAGTTATCATTGTTGATCCCCCTCCGGGGCACCATGTGCTCTTTCAAATGAAATGCCCTTCCAAAAGATCGCATGTGGTTATTGATCCGGGGAAATATTGGGTTTCAGAAGTGGGCTGTTGGCCCCCATTTTCCACAACAACAACAACAATACCAACAACGGTTCCCGCCTGATACTTTCTTACAATTATTTGAGGATTCGGGCTTTCGCGCCGGATTTCGTTACAATTTATACAACATGCGCGCTACTGCGTGGAACTTCCTCCCAATGTATTCAGACGCCGCGCCTTTGACACTTGTTCCCGGCCCCCTCTCCTGCTACCTTCTCTCGTGTTCCATCCCCCTCCCTCCCCCTTGTCCCGTCCTTCCATCCGTCCTCTCTTCCCCAGCCTTAGAGGCTGCACGAAATATTCGTTGCAGGTAAGAAAGATACACCCCCAAGTGGGGCACGATCGAAAACGAAAAAGGCGGGCATCGATGTATAGGAATGTACGTGTTGGGTGGCACGCGAGCAGAGAATGAACGCATCGAAAAAAAAACAAGCCCCGCACCCCACATGCAGAACTTCTAGACGAATGGGACCGTCAAGCGACGCGTGAACTGCAAGCGGAAACAGCTCGACGGTCAACAACCGACATCGCCGCGCAATTCAATGCGAACCGCGCTCTGCTGCTATGCTCGCTGGCGTTTGATGCACTTGGAGTTGCCTTGCGCTGACGCGTTGCCAATGCCCAGTGTCATTTGTGGATGTTCGCGCGCTCGTGCCAGGGCAACGACCAAAGGTCGCGTCGGCTTTTGCTGGCGCTGGCAAGTGCCCGGGACGGCGCCTGGGGCCCGCCCCGCACGGGCGCGCATAGGAAAGTGTAGGTCCACCCCAAAAACAAAGTTTAGGCACCAGGCGAAAGCTTAGATAACTTCTACGCAACATCGATCTACACTTCTCCGAAACGAGAGGTCTCGCGCGGGAGAGCCCCGAAGAGTTGATATATCAAAAACGCGTTTATATAAACGCCCAAAAAGCTTGATATTAGAACAGCTGCGTCAAGAGAAGCGTTCCCGATCTAAACTATTCCGTCGGCGGGCACGACGGGGCGACGGAGGCGGGTGCGGGGGCCTGCGGCTGGGCTGGCGGCGCTGCCGTGCGAGGGACAGCGCCGCCATCGCCTCGAACTGCACGCCGCGGCCGTGGCACGCGCGGCCCTGGGAATGTCGGCGCGGGCGCGGCCGCGCTGAGTGGGCCCAGCACGTCGCCGCGAGCAAGGGCCCCGCGCGCGGCAGCTGCCAATGGCCTCGCCGACAGGGCGCCTACCCTTACGCATTTTCGCACAAATTCAAAACGCTGACATGTAAAATCTACAGTTGTGGGGGGTGGGGTCGGCTTCCCACTATTCCTGCAAGAGCGAAACAGTCTAAACAATGGTTGGTGTGACTTGGAATGTTAGAATTGTTGTTGGTGTTGTTGTTGGAGTTGTTGGTGGTGTAATTGATGTTGTTGTTGCTGTTGTTGTTGAAACAATTGTTCGTTGTTTGTTGTCGCCCCCCCGCGACCCGGCCCGCGACCCACCCGCGACCCACCCTCGACCCACCCGCGACCCACCCCGCGACCCACCCCGCGACCCACCCGCGACCCACCCGCGACCCAACCCGCCACCCAACCGCCTTGGTTGGCGTTAAAAATGGCCTGGGCATTTTTTCCCCAGTTCCAACTTTCCGCTCTTGGAGAGCTGGAAATGGTAAAAAATGAAACATGTTTTTCTCATTTTCTGGTTCATTTTTTTGTCATGTTTTGCTGCCTCTGTGAGGCCGCCTTTCTGTCTCATTTCCTGGCGTTCCTCTTGTACCCCTACTATTAGGACGACGACAACGACGCCGACGATGACGATGCCGACGAAGACGTCGACGACTACCTACTACTGCTACTGTTACTGCTACTGCTACTACTACTATTGCTACTACAACGACTACTACGACGACGACTATTACTAGTACTACGACGACTACTACTATTACTACTACTACTACTACTACTACTACTACTACTACTACTACTACTACTACTACTACTACTACTACTACTACTAGTACTACTACTACTTCTACTACTACTACTACTACTACTACCACCACTACTACTACTACTACTACTACTACTACTACTGCTGCGACTACTACGACTACTACTACTACTACTACTACTACTACTACTACTACTACTACTACTACTACTACGACTACGACTACTACTACTACTAGTACTAGTACTAGTACTAGTACTACTACTACTACTACTGGAGGCGACGTTTTTGATCTCGAAGTGGATTTTCATGAACTCCATGATGGCCTGGCGGCTCAGGCATTGCGCGGACACCATCGCTGAGTCGTGGCGTCGCTGGCGTGCCCCAGCCCTTGGCTTGATCCAGTAGCTGCGCGGACAGGGGAACGGCGGGAGCCCAGAACCGGAGTTCGTACTCAGAGTTAAAAATGGTTAAAAAATGTATTGGAAATGGTAAAAACATGGTCGAAATCAGGCCCAGAGGCCCCCTGGCCGTTTGGGTAAGCTCTGCTGGCTGCTTTCTGGTGGCTGCTCTCACTGCGCGCGCAGCCGCTGGATCAAGCCAGCCGCTGGAGCTCGGCAAAGGGCTGGGCGCAAACCAAGTAGTAGTAGTAGTAGTAGTAGTAGTAGTAGTAGTAGTAGTAGTAGTAGTAGTAGTAGTAGTAGTAGTAGTAGTAGTAGTAGTAGTAGTAGTAGTACAGCAGAGTAGTAGTCCGTAGCTGGGAAATAGGTGAGTATAAAAATGCCTCAGAGATCCATTTTTAACGCCAACCAAGCCAACCGCGACCCACCCCCGACCCACCCACGGCCCACCCTCGACCCACCCGCGACCCACCTGCGACCCGGCCCGCGACCCGCCCGCGACCAAACCGCGACCCACCCGCGACCAACCCGCGACCCTCCCTGTGACCCACCCACATTGCTTTAACTAAAAAATCGGCGTTTGCCTGCGGCAAGCTCGTAGTACTTACTTTACAAAAGTCGGCGCCTGCGGCGGGCTTCATAAGAGTCTCTCAGACTGCCGAGGTCCCCGCCGCCCCCCTCAGTCTTATCCGCAACTGCGGGGTGCTACGTGAAGCCAAGTTGAAGGCACGCGAAAGGGAAACTACACGTACACACAGAACATGCTCAGCGCATGCTCAAGGCAAGTGCAAGAACATGTTAGCGCAATATGAATGCAACCTGAACACACCCGGCGATGCAAACACCGGCCCAAATCCCCCCTTTGGGCGCTGGCACCCTACTCGGTTATGCTACTGATCCCGGCCCCCCTTCGTGCCTAAGACAAGAAGAGGGGAGGGCCAGGGAGGGATGAATGTGCGGCTTGATACCCGCCCCCTACTTATCCTCTCCCCCCTCCGTCTCCATCCCTGCTCCTGTAACCCTGCACTCGCCAAGGGCTCCTTCTCATCCGCACCCCGCAGCCACTGGTCTTCAGACTCTCAGCAGCAAGGCATAGATCGTCCCCAAGAGGGCTGCCTCGGCAAACTGGACGGCCGTCGCAACGAAGTCCTCATACCTGTGCAGAGGAGACTGGGTCGACGGGGGAGGAACGGTGGGACGGAGGGGGGAAGTTGGAGAGAGGGATCACCGCTCAAATTGGACCTGATTTGGACAAGGACACCTCGGTCCATCCAGCCACGGATGACCACGCAGTGCACTTCTACAACCCTGTAGCTGGGGGTAGAGGTAGGGACTCAGCTCGTGAAGGGAAAGGGGCGAAGCGGCCCCTCGACCATATCGGGGGTATGTCCATCGAAGAGGATCTCTGTGTCACCTCGCCAGGGCTTTAGTACCCGCGTGCTTGACTACCCCTGAAGGGGGGAAACGAACTGGACCACCTTGGCAATGGGGTCGTCCTACTGTCGTCACAGGAGAGGAGAGCGGGGGAAGGAGAGAAAGACCTCCCAAAAGACACGCGCCGCAACAACAACGGGAGAAAACCTGCAGCACCTCAGAACATGCAGCACCTAAACGCAGTCGAGCGGGGTCTGTGAGGTTATCTGGTTCAGCCTTGGTTCTGGAAACTGAAACGACTGAATCGAATCTAAGTCCACCCGAACTGAGATCAAGTGGTCGGGATATGGGATTGAATTGAACTGGGACTGGGCACAATCGATGCACATTTCGGCACGCACGGACTCGGCAAGCGCGCCAAGGCATGCATGCACACCTAGAGCATGACAGCCCATCGTAGATCCGCTCGGGGAGAGTTTTGGCGCACGCACGTGCCACCCGAAGCATGCGCCCTCTCTCTGATCTTCGCTCGAGCGCAGTGACTCTTTCCCGCCACTCCCTCTCTGCTGCACCTGCGTCACCTCAACCGACTTTGAACAAAATAAAATGTGCTTCATTTGTGGAATCATTCCGCGACTTGCTGGAAGCGATCAGCACCCTCAAGCCAACTGTCAATCTCTACTCAACCAATGCGTCGCCTGCTCGTCGGCGGCCACATGTGTCACAATATTTCTACTATCCCAGACCGTCCGCGAACATCCGCCGGCCCTGTCGGCATGTGGGAGACGCTGTTATGTTTGACTCGACATCGTCGTCATCGTTGTCTTCGTCGTCGTGGTCGTGGTCGTCTTCGTCGTCGTCTTCGTCGTCGTCGTCGTCGCCGTGGCGTTTGAACCCCCTTTTCCTGGGCCCGTCGCCGCCCCCCTCCTTTCACTGGACTCTCCCCCTCAAGCGAGCCAACCAACGCGAAACCAAAAGGGTCCCGAGGGAGGTCACGAAGGAGGTTGCGGAGGGGGTCCCGGGTCAGAATACCACTCTCCCCTGGGGGTCCGAGGGCCAAAAAAGGCCCAAGACAGCCCAAGAGGGCCCCCAAGACGGTCCCTAGAGGGCCCTGAAGCGCCGAACAATCGTTCCAAGACGCCAGAGATGGCCTCCTGACAGCCCAAGCGGCTGCCAAGACGCTCGAAGAGGCTTCCAAGAGCACACCGAGAGAGCCCCAACAAGCAAACTTCAATGATTTTCTTTAGATGTTGGAAAGATCCCGGTGTCCTCGCCTTTTCGGCTTCCCGACGCCCCCAGACGGCCCAAGATGCCACCAAGATCGGCACACGAGGCCCCCAGAAGGTTTCCAAGACGGCCCCAAAACGACCCAAGATGGCCCCGAGGCGGCCGTAGAGGCATCCCAGACGGCCCAAAAGCTCGCCATCGCTCGGACGTCCATTCCCCGTGCATGTTCCGGCTTCGTGTGTGCATGTTTTGGGTGGAGATGACCCAACATGCTCCTCGATGGTCCTCGCCGGAAGAACAAAAACACGCCCCAGCGATGCCAAGAGAGGCCCCAAAACGGTTCCAAGAGGGTGCCTACACGGGAGCCCGAACGAACATGTCGAGCCCTCGGGCCCGCGAAGCTCCCAGGAGGCCTCGTGGGATCCTGAGGCCCCCAGGAAGCCCGAAGGGACCCCGAAGAGGCTCCCAAAAGGCTCTCAAGATGCTCCCACGAGGCCTCAAAACTGGCCCCCAAAGGCCTACGAGCACGCTCCGGAGAGGCCCCACAAATCATCCCTGAGGACTCTGCCCCACGTCAGCGCCGTCGTCGCCGCCGACGCCGCCGTCGTGGTCGTCGTCCCCCTTCAGGGTCGGCGGCGCCGGCCGTACAGCCTTGCGATGCGCGGGTGCTTGCTGCCCATCAAATCCTGCGTGCAAGAATGCATCACGGCACAGTCGGGCCTAGGCCATAAGAGCATCCCTCAAGAACATGAGACCCTCCGTCGGCCCAAACACACAGAACATCCAAAGGTGCCCTCCCCCAGGACGCACAATAATATCCAACAAACACGAAGAACATTAGGGTATCCTCCCCGAACTGACTTCGATCTTATGCCTCGGACCGACTGTAATGCCTTCCCAATTCTGCTGCATCAGAGCAAGTGTAGCAGCGATGCGCGGGTACTTGCTGCCCATCAAGTCCTGCGTGCAAGCATGCACCACGTTAAAGATGGTTCGGAGAGACGTAAGACTCGGGTTCGGAGGATTCGGGTTGGCCTGACAGGGCTATCATGAAGATGACGAGACCCAATCTGAAATGTCACGCGAACTGCCGCTGTAAACATCCCACGAACACTGAACCGTCAAAATCCATGACGCGCTCGTCAAAAAGAGTCGGCAAACCTGAGTTCTGGCGTACTCGAGTCTACGTTTCTGCGAATGGTGGCACGATCACCGATGTTCGCTCTACTGCACCAAGAAAAACTTCCCATATATGTTATTGTTCCGACAAGGGGCTCCAGCCACGTGCAGCGCAGCGAATCCTCAATGATGTGCATGTCCACACGCCTCAACTCTCCTCGTGCCAACCTTACCAGTAAGACGAAGCCAGGACGAGAATGAATCGATAATCTCTGAGATCCAGCAGCTCTGGAACATGTCTCGGGCGCCGCGGCCTCCTCAGAGCATTCTGGAACGCCGGAACGCTCTGGAACGGATTTGTCCTCGTCCTAGCACCGTCCGGATCAGGAAGGCATACTCAAATTGGCCACTGCGATTGGGGGAACATGCGAACCATGATTGTCTGAACTGCATCTGGCCGTGTCTTGCCTGTCGAGACCAACCTTTCGGATCGGCGAAAGAGAGAGTGCCAATCAGAGACGCACCGGCAATGCCAAATCGAAACACCAATACTATATTGGTTTGGTGGCAGGTGCTCGAAGATCACAGCCCCCATGCGCAAAGGAAAGGTGGTGCCGATACCGATGACAATGCTGGCGCTGTTCACTAGGACGCGACGCCAGCCATCGAGCATGCCGATAACGATTATGACGATGGCGATGACGCCTTCGTAGTGTTGGTGCGGACGCAAAACTGAAATGCGTCGACCCCCGGTTACCGGGGATGAAAGACGGTGTGAGATGTTTGGTTGCCCTCCTCCCCCTTGCCCACTCCCCGAAACCAAACATCCTGTTTGAGAGGGGGGGAGGGCCCCCGAACTCGCTACGGGCCCCTCAGGCCCCGTGAGACTCCCCATCATGCTTCTGCGGAGAGAGTCGAATCTCCAAACATGGTCCAGATGGCCCCAAGGGCCAGTCCTGGGGCATGTTTGTCATCTTCTTGGGCCGTTTTGCAAGGTTTGGGAGCTGTTCCAAGAAGCTCAAAGCCACTGACACACGTTTGAAACAATCTGAGTGTTCGCACACTCGGCTTATTGATTTCACGAGCGTGCCCCCTAGAGGGGCCCAACAGACCCCAAGAGGAAGGGGAACCCGAAGGGGCCTCGGAACTATTCCCCCCCTTCAGTATAGGCCCCGAGACCGAAAACAAGGCATCATGAGATTCCCGATGGGCCGCCAAGAAACTCCCGGAAGCACTCGGAAAACCACCATGAAGCCGCTCAGAGGCCTCAGACAGACCCCAGAGATGCCTCAAAGAGGCCTCCGAACGGCTTTCCCAGAGACCTCGAGACCTCTAAGAAGCCTCGTGCCAACGACCCAGGGTCAATTGCGGGATGGTTTGGCTGTCACTAGAATGCTCGTCCCACCGCCTCCTATATGTTACACTGAAGGCTATCGGCATGTTGCCCTCATCTGAAGAGCCCGCGGACGAAGGCAAAATGATAATACATTCGGGTCAAAGAGATCTGGTGGGTCTGGAGAATGTATCGGGTGCTGTGGCGGAATTGTAAAGTTCTGGAACGATCTGAACGCGCTGTTTACGATATGGGCTAATCCCAGCAGCCCTGTCTGTAGTTTCCCGAATTCCCTTTTCCAACATCATTATTCCCAACCGGGCAGCGGTAAACGATAAACCTTTTCCTCCTCCCCCTGGGTCTGGACGGGGGCGGTCCTAACCGATTGGAACGTACAAGATGGCCTCAGAGATAAGGCGCAAATCATTGATTTATAGTTGTGGGGCAATTTGGGCCTCATGGGGGGGCAAGACCCAAATATGTCCCGAAGCGCCCTCAAGAGAGCCCCACGAGGCCCCAAAGATGCCCCAGGAGGCCCCCCGATTCATCCAATACGTCCAAGAGGCCCCCCACGAGCCAGCAAAAGGCCCCCAAGACACCCAAATATGCCTTCACGAGGCCCTCAAGAGACATCCCAAGAGACCCCAAAAAACATCCAAAGGGCCTTTGGCCCAAACACAAGCCCCCGACATTTCCAAACGGTGCCACGCTCCCCCGTGCAGGGCATCTGCACCAGGAGCCATGTCTGGGTGAGCTGGTGGGTATTTTTTGTTCGCGAGCGCAAACGGAAGGGCCGCGCGCCGTCCAAACCTACAGCTGACAAGCAGGAGCTTAAATTGCACACGGGAGAAAGGGAAAGAGAGAGAGAACAAGAGAACAGCGGGAGGTGAGACTAGCTGGGGCGGGCCGCGCGGCGCTCACGAAAGGCTGGTGGGGATACTTTTTTGTTCGAAAGCGCAAGCGGAAGAGCCGCGCGCCGTCCGGGAATTGCTGAGTAGCAAAGACCTGAATTACTACGGATGGTGGGGATTCTTTTTTGGTCGGCGGCTCCGAGGCAACGGACAGGGAGCGGAAGCGGCGTCCGGGTCACGGTACGGAGCTATTTTGCAAACCTAGCCGCCAGAGTCGGCGGAGATGGTGGGGATACGCGAAGCGTTCAGATTCTGTCCTCGTCCCAGGCCTTCCTGACTTTCTCCGCTGAAGAAGGCCGGCCCCTACAAGCCACGAGCGGCGAACACATCCGCATCCGCGCCCTCGCGGTCTGGACTCCAGGGAGCGATCCCGCACACACGCAGTCCGCGCGTGGCGCCCGCGCACACAAGCGCCACGTGTCCGCGGGGTCGCGGCCTGAGGGCCCCGCCCACGAGACCGCGGGTACGGATGTGCCTGTCGCCCACGAGCAAGCTCCCCGCGGGGCTCCTGCACGATCTGCAGCAAAGTCTGGCATGCATCCAAATTCAGGCCGGCCTGCGGTGCGCGCGGTGCGCCGCGGGGCGCCGCAGCGCGCGCCGACCCTGTCCGCCCCGCCCCGGCGGGGCCCCGGCTGCGGCTGCTCCCCGCCTGCGCCGGCCGCCACCGCCAGAGGCCGCCGTGGCCGCCGCAGCCGCCGCCGCTGGTAAGAGGACGGTGAGGGTGAGGTGCTCTCACGGCTGCAGGTCGGCCACGCGGGCCGGGCGAGAGCGAAAGCAGAACGCGCAGAGAGAATCATGTTCCTCCGTGGTCAGGCTGTGATGCGCGGTGACGGTATTGGCAGCTTGTTTTTCGCACAGCTTCCAGCAATGCCTCTGGCGGACGTCAGACCTGACTTGGCCCGAATTGTGACGGATGCTTGCCCGTCAGGCTCCGTGGTAATTAGCCGCAAGCGCTTCGACGAAACTGTCATCAAATCGCACTGCAACAAAATACCGTGGCATACAGCCCAAAAGGAGAAGGGAGGAGGATGAGTCGAAGAGAGAGGACAAGAAGAAGGAGAGCGAATCAGAGAAACCCACAACATACTGCGAAGCATCCGCCCTTAGCCTACCACGTCCTGGCGTGGCTTTATGTGCCATGGTGGCCCACTCAGCCGCAATCCATGAACCAAGCATTGGACAAGGAAGAATCTCCGGAACTGGGGTCAGTAATGCGATGACAGAGAACCGTCCTGAGCAAGGCAGCAGCAGGAGGAACAAGAAGGACGACAAGGAAGAGGAAGGGAGGGGAAGGCCTTCGGTGCCACTTTCAGGGTGGCCCGCGACGGATGACTACGAGCGGCGCCGCCCACGGCGAGCCCAACTTCACTGATCAGCCAAATAGCAAGCTGTCTGATATAAAACACACATCTGGCAGCCCCACCCCCCCAGGAGCTCGGCCGGCCTGGAGACGCTGCTGCATCACGGAGCGGGCGAAGTCGCAGAACACAGCGGCGTCCTGGCCGCCGTTCCAGGCGGTGCGGCCGGGCTGGGAACTCTCTCGGTGGCGAGGCGCGCCGCGGCATGAGCGGCAAAGTCAGAGCCGCAGTTTGGATGCTCAGAACAGCCTGGGCTGGGAGCAGGCAAGAGCCACACCTGGCGGCGCGCGAAGGAGTGGGGCGAGGGGGTTGGCCATCTGAGAGGGCGTGGGGCTTGCCGGGAGAGCCTGGAGCCCCACGAGCGGGCTTCTCGACAAGCAGGCGGGCTTCCGAGAAACCCCCTGCCTCCTTCGAAAGCCGCCTCCTTGCGCCACCCGGCTCTGCGCGCTGCCGACACGTGTCCAGCACGACTGCGCGCCTCAACCCAGGACACCTAACTTTGCGCCCTGCTGATGGGCAACGAAAAAAGGGGACTGGCAAAAGGGACGATGCATCGACACGGAATCGGCGATGCATCGTCGATCGATTTGCGATAGGCCCCCGATAGCGAAACCGCAGGTTCCTGTGCGGGGTGGGGTCATCGGGCCCCTATCGGCAATGAATGGTCGATTGGGGGTCGATGCGTCCGCCCCTACGCCTATCCCTCCAGAGCGTTGCCCCTGATTTGCGCTGCGCGAAGCGTGTGTACCTTCGCGCCCTCGTGGCGCCGGCCCCTGGAAATACAACTTCTCTGGCACAGAACCGCGACGCGCGACTGTCTTCGCGCCACCCTGGGCGACCCTATCAACACATCGCGTCGTCAACTTCACCATTGGCACGGCCACCGTAACCATCAGTCTCGTTGGCTTAGCTGTTTTCGTTCTGCACTGTTTATACACTATCATGTCCAAAACATTCGCCACCACAACCACCGTGAACAACCTCATCCACCGCGCCCGACCCCTCACCGATCCTGACCCTGGCGGCCGTCACTATGCCTCTCTAGCCTAGGGAATCTAATATAGTCCCAGGCTGAGAAGCGGGACATGCGGACATGCTTAGCCGCTTAGCCGCTCCTAACAATGAGCGCCTAATGCGCGCCAGGCATCATTCCACCCAGGTTTGGGACCCGTTTCCGCGCGCACCAGGCGGCGAAGGCGATCGCCCGTTCCTCTTGCCCATCACATGAGAACGCGCGCAAGGTTTCGACCGTCGCGCAGAATGCTGCTCATAGGCTTGGCTTTTACGATCAGCGCTCCAAATCCGCGCCAGTTCTTGACGTGATTCGTGCTCGGGGCATTCTGCGTTGCAGCTGTATATCAAGATCGTGACATTACAATCTGCGCGAGCCGCCAAGTGTGTGACTGCTGCCAAACACAGCCCCGCGCGCGATTCAGTCTCTTGGCACGGCCTACGTTTCGGGAAAGTTCGCGCAAATCTGCGCTCGTTCTTCCGAGCGGGCTTTAGAACGCGACAATACCACGCATTGGACCCATAAAGAGCAATACTCAACGAAATTACACTTCTACGCGGGAGCATGGGCGAGGGGGGCGCACCCTTGCAGGGAGAGAAAGACATTGCTAGAGGCCGGTAAGCATCTCCTCGGGCCTCGACACTACTAGAGAAGAGCCTCATCAGTACCTTTCCAGGGATGGGCTGACGAGTTAGCCAGTCAGCTTCGTGCCAAGTGGGTCTGCGCTTGATGGCCACCGCTGCGAATGTCAGTGGGAGCGCCGAGCTCCATGGGTCACTTTCCGAACCCGACTGGCGAGATACGTAATCGGCCAACTACGTGCCGAACGCATGGCTCCGTTGTCGGCCAACGCTTTGAGGGGGCGACGCGTTCGGACGGCGAGAGCTGGCTTGATATTTGACTGCACAGGCAAGCGGCGCCAATAGAGCCTGGTATGGTCCGATCGGTTACAAAAGTGAGGCAAATTGGAATCGAAGAAGAGAAACCTACACAAGCATAGACTTTCGGAAGGTGCATGCAGATGTCTTGGATCTGTGTTGGACCCCCCTCTCTGGCGCGCGGAAGGCGCCAAGGGCTGCGCCGGAGGCGCCGCCAGGAAGGTCCGGCGCAGATTCACGAAATCCGTGCGGACCATCGAAACTGGATGTTTCTGCCGTTTCTCTCCTGCGAGTAAAGAACAAATAGATGGGGGAGGGGAGGGAAAACGAGCTTCACGTGGGGTTTCACGTGTGAGGCCCCCCGATCCTTGTCCACGGCGCCCGAAAGCGCCTGGACGTTGCCGCGCTCCCAGAACTCCTGGGCGCAAGGGGTGGGGGGTCGGCGGCAAGAGGCGGAGGGGAAAGGGGAGGTACACACGAGGCGAATTGCAGCGCGCAGGCCCTTCGTGCGCGCGTGCACGCAGGCAGCCGCAGTGCGCGTGGGGTGGGGAAACGAAACGGAGGAGGGAGTCGATGGGGGAGCCTCGAGGGTGCAGCGGGGAAGATGAGAGGAGGGAGGCGGGAGGAGGTGCGTGCCCCCCTACCTCCCGGTGTTTCGCCTCCACCTTCCCCACCCCGCCCCTCCTCCCGCCCTCCAGGCCCCGGTTCACCACCCGCCAAGCCGCAGATGCGACCAGCGCGTCGACGTCCACGAGCGATGGTTCCACGCCCGCCGGGCGTGACGTCGCCGTCCGAGCACGGCAATCTCGACCTCCACCGGTTGCAAGGCGAGTCTGGCGCCGCGGCCTCCTACCCAAACTCTTGCCCAGGGGAACAGCAAATACCGATGAGTACTGTTACTCCCGGGAATTTTCCTGGGGATGGCGTTCTGACCGATGGCGTTCTGACCAAAGGTTCGAAGAGATTCCAGCCGTGACGGCGAGGGAGCAGGGGTACGGGTTCCTCTTCCCCCTCGCTCTCTCCGCCCGCCCCCCCCTCTGAGACAATCGTAAAGAAGGTCAACAACAAAAGGGTCAGTGAGCAAGCGCAACGCAGCCGTGCGCTCCCAGGCTGCCCGAGGCGCCCGGAGCGACCACGGTGCATCGAGGAGCGCGCATGGCGGGCGTGGCCGAGACTGGGCTGCGTGCAATTCCCCCAAAAACTGGCCCCCGAAGACTAACCCAATATCAGTTAGCAGCTAGCATCGAATCGGGAACTCGGATCGAATCGGCCCCAAGATACACAACAACGATGTGCAAACATCGGGCCGCATCAGGTCATCGGGAGATCGGAATCGACATCGAACCGGGCCAGCCGGAATCGATATCGAATGGGATCGATCGGTTAGGAATGGACACTGCTGACCTCGAGAAGGAGGGGAGGAGTGGCGGTAAGCGGGCGTCCTTGAGCTTTCGAGCCTGCTCCTGTCGTCTCTGCAACACGCCCATCATCTGGGCGTGCTTCGAGGCAACCTCTGGGAGGTCGCCCTCCTCCTCCTCCTCCTCCTCCTCCTCCTCCTCCTCCTCCTCCTCCTCCTTCTCCTTTTTCTACACCTCCTCCTCCTCCTGCTCCTTCTCTTCTCGCCTCCGTCCTTCCTCTTCCTCCTTTTTCTTCCTCCTCCTCCTCCTCCTCCTCCTCTTTCTCCTCCCCCTCCCCTTCCCCCTCCCTCTCCTCCTCCTCTTCCTCTCCCCTCCTCCTCCCCCTCCCCCTCCCCTCCCCCTCCCCCTCCTCCTCCTCCTCCGCCTCCTCCTCCTCCTCCTCCTCCTCCTCCTCCGCCTCCTCCTCCTCCTCCTCCTCCTCCTCCTCCTCCTCCCCCTCCTCCTCCTCCTCCTCCTCCTCATCCTCCCCCTCCTCCCAAGCAGGCGGCCGCGAGTCTTCCCCGCGCGGCCGACGCTCGTTGATCGGGAGCCGGCGCACTCCTCCACCGAACCTCAAACGGGATGGTTCCCCCGAGAGCGACGCGCAAAAGGCGGCCACGCCCGGGGGGAGAGGGTGCGTTGGCCACAGCCATACAATGGGCATGCCCGAGAGCGCCGCGGGGACCCGCACGACCCGGTAGCCAGTCGCGAGCACGGCCCGGCGCTCCAGGCCGCCACACAAGCCGCCGCCCCCCCCGGCGCTTCCTCCTCCTCCTCCTCCTGCTCCTGCTCCTCCTCCTGCTCCTCCTCCTTCTCCTCCTCCTCCTCCCGCCTCCTCCTCCTCCTCCTCCTCCTGCTCCTCCTCGTCCTCCTCCCACCTCCAGCCCTTCCCCTGGGAAGCCCCGGGGTCGCGAGGGAGGTGGGCCCGCCCAAGCAGGAAGGGGAAGCCCGCGATCAGCGTGAGTGGGGCGCGCGCCGAGCCTTCGAGACGGCGTGCACTCGACCTGCTGAGGCTGAGACCGACCGATGACCTCGTCCTCACACCCCATTCGGCCCTACAGTCGGACGTGATTGGAGAGAACACGCGAGAGGACACAAGACGCTTCCGAAGGCCACGTTGCAAATGGAATGCAGAAGACATGGGCCGGGAAATACAGGACACAAGGATACCCTGGACCTGGCAGGGTCGACCTATTAGGGCCGACTGTACACTGGGCATCTGAGGGCGCCTTGAAGACTGCACCCGGATCTGGACCTCCGCTGCACTCAGTCGCCACACGCGATGTGCAAGAGGTGCTGATCGCACCCCAAATGTCGGACGGAGCCTCGCGTTGCCGTTGGGCTTTGCCGGAGTGCTCTGTCCCTGCTATTGCTAGCAGCTGCTCTGACATGAAGATTGAAAACTTCTCGGATGGAATCTCGAATCATCCGCTGTGAACCTGAAACACATATGAGAAAAAAAGACTTGGGGGAAAACCGTGTAAGATCATTCTGTCACGCGTTGGCTCTGAAAGTAGAGGACTCATCAAATCATCTCGTCGATCGCGAAGCAATCGCCAGCAAGTGTGTTGAATCGGGACACACCCGTCGAACTCGGTACGTTCAACATTACTGCACCACTGTTTCTTCCCCATATTACGGCACGTCGCACAGAACTGCGGCATGTCAGCCTCAACAACAACTTGCCTAGAACGAACGGGCATATGATTCTGGACTGTATTACCAGAGCCTAAGACGCCCTTAGATTAGAACATTGTCATACGACCCCCGCGTGCTCACACAACGTATTCTGGTGCTGCCACGGGCAGACCAGGGTGCCTCGGACCTGCTTGAGTTATACAGGTGAGTGAAACCCATGGTTTGCAAACGACGGTATAGTCTACAAAAATCATACCAAACCTGCGCACGGGACGCAACCCCTTGGGTCCTCGGCCCATGCCTTGGGCTCCGTCGGTTGTTGTTGCAATGTCAAACGGACGACCGGCTGGACTCAGGCCGCCCAGAGGATGAGGATATTCATCTCCCGAGCTCCGGGGACTGTCAACAGGACGTTCTCATCCCCCCTCCCTCCTCCTTCAACTACCCTCTCGTCCCTATCTTGCCCCGCCCCCTGTTGCCGCCTTCCAGAAGCTGGACTGCATCTTGCACGCCCTGCGCGTATGCCGCGCCAGGCCGCCTACCGATCCCTGGCTGCGCTCGCGCACACGCGTGCCCAGGCCAGCTGACGTTGTGTCTCGCGCTGGGAGAAGCCCGATCGATCTCTAGAGAGCCTGGCCTGGAATCCCCGTGCGCCGCGTGGGGAACTCTGGACAGGCAGAGTCCATGTCCGATTCGCTATTTAATTGGAGAAGCCTGGTCGCCGCGGACTGTACTGCGCCCCACCTCCCTGAACAGCCGACGACGTGACTGTTTCCATCGTAATTGGAGAAGCCTGGTCGCCGCGGACTGTACTGCGCCCCACCTCCCTGAACAGCCGACGACGTGACTGTTTCCATCGAAGCCCCAGCGCTCCCGACCTCTCCCCAGAGCGGCTACAGTCGGACCTAGGTCAGAAGAACATCCCTCAAGAGCATGAGACTCTCCGCCGACCCAAACACACACACACACACAACATCCAAGGGTACCCTCCCCAGGATGCACAAAAACGTCCAACAAGCACGAAGAACACGAGGCTATCGTCCCCGAACTGACCTCGATGTTATATGTCGGTCCGACCGCATCGCACAGCGGATCCATTCCCAGGGTTGCCCCCGAGCCCGAAGAACGGCGCCAGGAGGCAGCGACGTGGGGGGAGGAGGGCCAAAGGCTGCACACGTCCATCCCTCTGCTTTTCTGGGTCTCGCGCCACATACCGCCCTGTACCCCCCCCCACTCGCCGCTCCCGTGAGTGGGCGGCGCGCGGCTGCTGCCAGCAGAGTGCAGCAGGGGAGGGCCGCTGCACCTGGCTCAGGCCCTCCACCGCGGCCTCGGGCGGAGGAGGCGGCGGAGAAGGGGGGCTCAGGAGCAGGGGCGGGAAGAGGAGGAAAGGGAGGAAAGGGAGGCGGAGGCCGAGGCGGGAGGAGAAGGATAACAGGAGGAGGAAGACCGATGCAAACCCACGACGAATCAACGATGTTGCAATCAACGTTCCCTCCAAATTCCCTTTTGATATTGTAGATCCATGGTGGAAAATGCCCCCATTGGAAGACAACCGTGTGAAACTCCTAAATCGAGTCAAAACAATTCATCGGATTTCGCCGCCGCAAACATGCTCAACCATTACGTCCTGACAAACTTAAAACGGGTCAAAAGGCAACTTTTCGAACTTCCTCACAGCGAATCCACGTGATTGTTGCGTCCTCACAAGCCAAGCTCGCGCCAACAAACAAACACGTGGCACGTTTACCATACGAATCCAGAAACAGCTGCGAACGCTTGAAGCGAATGCGCGCGGCGCTCAGGCGAGAGCCACACTTTGAAAAAGAACTTGCATCCAAAATTGAATATGTTAAAAATTTAAACACGACTGGACCACGTGGATATCGTCTGTCGTGCCCCGTCCTCGGCAAAAACGAAAGTGATTAGCAACAAGCCGGTCTTCTACCCCAGCGCCCTGTAGCCACCGCAATACTAAACTTGCCACCCCTTTGTACATCGTACTCATCAACGATTGCCGCCAAACTTGCGGAGCTGATTCTTCTAGCCAGCATGCGCGCAAACTAATACAGCACGAACGCCTGGCGTGCACAACCGCGATAAATCTTCTTAGAGTCCCCCCAAAATAGGAATGACTAACTATTTTTCGGCGGCCTTATTGAAGGACTGGGGTTCCACCAATAGGGGGGTTGTTTCCGCGTCGCCCGCCGCGCAAAACGACGACGACGGCTACGACTACGACTGCTAGGAGAAGGAGGAGGGGGAAAGTGGGGAGGAGGAGGAAAAGAATTTAGGACCAGTCCCATTCACCGCCAAATCAATAATAGGGGGATCTAAACTAAAGACTTTCCGAAAGCAGGAAAAACAGAGCAGCAGGAAGGAACAACAACAGAAAAGACCAACGGGAAGGAGCGCGGACAGCAAGCCCCACGCGAGCCTCCCGCCGTCGCGCATGGCCTCGTGCACAGACCTGGCCCACAATCCAATCAACATATGTATTGCTTCCGCGCAAATCCACAGGACGAAACCAAGACGAGGATAACATCGGGTGAAGATAAATCGAAAATCTCTGACATCCCGCGGCTCTGGATAATGTCTCGGGCGTCGCGGCCGTTTCAGAGCCCTCTGGAACGCTCTGAGAGCGTTCCGGAACGCTTTGAAGCGCATTTATCCTCATCCTAAGTAGCCCCGTCCGAGTCCAGTATTGCCTGTGAGACGGCGTACATGGTTAACACGAAGGTGCAATATGTACGTCGCCCCGGCCTGCAAACGAAGCGCCGTGCCGTCCATGGCCGCTGCAAGCATGAAGCGCTCCAGGTCGTGCCCCACGACCGCGTCCAAAAACGGGAGCATAGCCAAGAACGCCGCATTGGACAGTTGATGTAATTCTCAACTGCGTCATCAGCCACATCGCAACACTGAAATATACATCAACAGCGGGCCCGTCGAAAGAGCGACGGTCTGCCGTCCGTCGTCTATCTCTTGAATATGGTGTTCAGGGTGCTCGCCCACGGCACTGGTGGCACCAGCTTGCATAGTTAGGCGGCCAAGCTGAGTGGCTACGGTAGGTTCCAACGTTGCGGCCAGCGCCGCAGGCGCCATTCAAGACTGAAGCCGTCTCTCGCCTGCAGACGGCCGACGAACCGTCGCTGCGTCCTTTTTTTCTTCCAAAGAAAGACGGCGAGGCGAGGGAAGGAGTCCGAGTGGGAGAGCGGAGGGGTGCGGGGACAGTGGAGGCGCACCGGAGCAGAAGGGATCCGAGGGGGGGGGCGGGTGGGCCTCCGTGGCCGACGAAGACGACCTCGTGGGCTCCATGTGAAAGTGGTGCGCGGGCCCGGCCTCGTTGCAAGAAGGGGGCAGCAAGGGGAGGGGTGAGGGAGGACAAGGGGAGGATACGCAGGCGGCCCCCTTCCTTTCGTATATATATATATATATACATATATGCTCGCCCCCCCCCTGTGATCATACATTTTGTTTTTTTTCGTCGGCTTCGTCGTCGTCGTCGTCGTCGTCGTCGTCGTCCTCGTCGTCGTCGTCGTCCTCCTCCTCCTCCTCCTTCTCCTCATTCCCCCCCCCCATCATCCCCCCTCATCCTTTCTCCTCCTTCTTCTTCCATTATTCTCTTTATTGTCTTCCATCTACTCCTCCTCCTCCTCCTTCTCCTCCTCCTCCTCCTCCTTCCCCTCCCTCTCCTCCTGCCCCTCTCCCTCCTCCTCCTCATCCTCCTTCTCCCCCTGTGCCTCCTCCCGTTCCTCCTCTTCCTCCTCCTCCTCCTCTCCTTTCCCATCTTCTCCGTTCGCCTTGTCTTCGCTACTTCCCACTTCTTTCTTTGTCAGCCCTCCCCCTCGTATGCTGCCCACTCTCCGTCCGCATCGGTGTCGTTCCTTCCCGCTGCATTTCTTTCTATGATTCATTCCTTCTCCTTTGATTATGTTCGTTATCCTCCCGATCCTCCCTCCTCCCTCACCCCTCGTCCCTCCTCCTTCCTCCCACGCTTCTCCGTTGCAGGGCCTCGTCATCTTCTTCCCCTTCGCAAGCTTCCTTACCGCCCTCGTTCCTTCTACTCTTTACTGTCCCTCCTACTCTTCATTATCATTGTCGTTCCTTCTACTCGTTTATCGCTGATCCGACTTCTCTGCATATGTTCGTCTTTCCAAGGGCCTTCAAACATCGATTCCTTATGTGTAGGGGCCTCCACATATTGATTCCATGTGTGGAGAGACCTCCACATAATGATTCCATATGTGCAAGAGGCTTCCATAATGATATCTTGTGTGGAGGGTCCTCCCACTCGTTGAATCCTTATGTGGAAAGGGCCTGATTCCTGTTGTGGGGGATCCTCCACATATTGTTTCCTTATGTGGAAGGGATCTCCACATGTTGATTCCGTCTGTGGAGGGACCTCCACATGTTGATTCCTTATGAGCAAGGATCTCCATATTGTATGTGGAGGGAACTCCAACTTGTTCATTCCTTATGTGGAAGGGGCCTTCACATAATGATTCCTTTTGTGAAAGGGCCTGCACATATGGATTCCTTATGTGGACGGGCCTTTTCATGTCGATTCCTTATGTGGAGGGGCCTCCACATATTGATTCCGTCTGTGGAGGGACCTCCACATATTGATTCGTTCTGTGGCGGGCGATCTCCTTTTCCTCCTCCTCCTTCTGCTCCTCCTCCCCCTCCTTCTCTCACTCCGGCGCAGGGGTTGAGGAGAAGAAGGATCAGAAGGAGTAGGAGGAGAAAGATGAGGAGGAGAAAGCTGATATTGTTTCCTTTTGTGGGGGATCCTCCACATATTGATTCCTTATGTGGACGGGACCTCCACATGTTGATTCCGTCTGTGGAGGGACCTCCACATATTGATTCCCTGTGTGCAAGGGGTCTCCATATTGATTTCTTTTGTGGAGGGTCCTCCCACTTGTTGATTCCTTATGTTGGAAGGGGTCTGCACATATTGATTCCTTCTGTGGATGGGCCTTCAAATTATCGATTCCTTAAGTTGAGGGGCCTCCACATGTTCATTCCGTCTGTGGAGGGACCTCCACCAATTGAGTTCTTTTGCGGCGGGCGATTTCCTTTTCCTCCTCCTCCTCCTCCTCCTCCTCGTCCTCCTCCTGCTCCTCCCCCTCCTCCTCCCGCTCTGGCGCAGGGGTTGAGGATAAGAAGGAGCAGAAGGAGTAGGAGGAGAAAGATGAGGAGGAGAAAGATGATATTGTTTCCTTTTGTGGAGGGGCATCCCCCATATTTTTTCCTTATGTGCAAGGGGCCTCGCGCATATTGATTCCTCTTGTGGGGGGGATGCCTCCACATATTGATTCCTCATGTGAAGGGACCTCCACATGTTGATTTCGTCTGTGGAAGGACTTCGACATATTCATTTCTTAGGTCAAAGGGGTCTCCACATGGATTTCTTATGTGGATGGGCCTTCGAATATAGATTCGTTATGTGGAGGGGCCTCCACATATTGAGTTTGTCTGTGGAGGGACCCCCGCATATTGATTCCTTATGTGCAAGGGGTCTCCATATTGATATCTTGTGTGGAGGGGCCTCCAACATCTTGAATCCTTATGTGGGAGGGGCCTTCATAGATGAGTTCCTTATGTGAAGGAGCCTGTACACATTGATTCCTTATGTGGGAGGCCCTTCACAGATCGATCCCTTATGTGGAGGGGCCTCCACATGGATTCCTTGTGTGGAGTAGGAGGAGAAAGATGATGAGGAGGAAGGGTAGGAGGCGGAGGTGGACACGGGGGAAGCGGATTTACATATCGATTCCTTTTGTGGCGGGGCGGGGTACATATAATGGGAGGAGAGGAGAGGAGGAGGAGGAGGAGGAGGAGGAGGAGGAGGAGGAGGAGGAGGAGGAGGAGGAGGAGGAGGAGGAGGGAGGAGGAGGAGGAGGAGGAGGAGGAGGAGGATGAGAGGAGAGGAGGGGGAGGAGGAGAGGAGGAGGAAGAGGGAGAGGAGAGAGGAGGGAGGAGGAGGAGAGGAGGAGGAGGAGGAGAGGAGAGAGAGAGAGAAGAGAAAAAGAGAGAGAGAGAGAGAGTGTCAAGAGAGGGAGGAGAGAGACAGAGGGAGGAGGAGAGAGAGAGAGGAAGGGAGAGAAGAAGAGGAGAGAGAGAGAGAGAGAGAGTCAAGAGAAGGAGGAGGATATAGAGAGAGAGAGAGAGAGCCAAGAGAGAGAGAGAAGGGGAGAAGAAGAGAGGAGAGATAACGAGAGAAAGAAAAACGGAATTCGGCAGAAAACGGGAGGGAACGTTGAGTCAAGGAGTCGACTAGGCGGAGGAGACGGAGGAGGGTTTTTTTTCTTCCGTTGTTCCTCCTCCCCGCCCTCGGAGGCGGAGTGTTTTCCTTTGTTTCCATGTGAAGACACAGGTTGTTTCCTATTCTTCTGTTTTTTTCATGTGTTTCGCTTTCCCGTTCGGCCCCTTGAGGTTCCCCCGCCGCCCAAGAGGGGGGGCCCGAAAAACATAGGAAAAAAGGAGCAATATTAAAGAAACACTGTGTTTTCACATGGAAACAAAGGAAAACTCCGCCTCCGAGGGCGGGGAGGGGGAAACATGGAAAACACCCTCCTCCGTCTCCTCCGCCGACTCCTCTCCCCCCTACGCCTCCCCCCCCCCCCCTCTGGTATCTCCATTGGGGAGACGGGGGCGGAGGAAGGAGGAGAGGGGTAGGCTGAGGAGACGGAGGAGGGTGTCTCTTTTTCCCGCCCTCGGAGGCGGAGTTCTTTTCCTTTTTTTTTCATGTGAAAACACGAGTTGTTTCAGATGGTGTTTCCCCCTGTGTTTCTGTCTCCCGTTCGGCCCCTCAAGGTTTCCCCGCCGCCCCAGGGGGGGAGAGAAAAACAGGAAAAAAGGAAATAGGAAAACAAACTGTGTTTTCACAGGAAGAACCAGGAAACCAACTCCGCCTCCGAGGACGGGGAGATGGGAAAAAAGGAAAAAAAACCCTCCTCCGTCTCCTCCGCTTACTCCTCCGCTTCCTCCTCCCCCGTCTCCCCAAATGGAGAAACAGACAAGGGCAGGGCGTTTTTTTCCTGTTTCCACCCTCCCCGCCCTCTGAGGCGAAGTTTGTTCCTGTTTCTCGAGGAGACGGAGGAGAGGTGTTTTTTTGTTTTCCTCCTCCCCGCCCTCGAAGGGGGAGTGTGTTTCCTTCTTTTCCATGTGAAAACACAAGTTGTTTTTCATATGTTTGCTGTGCTTCCTGTTTTTCGGTCTCCCGTTCGGCCCCCGCGGACACCCTCCTCCGTCTCCTCCGCTTACTCCTCCCCCCCTACTCCTCTCCCCAGAGATGAGGAGAAGGAGGAGGAGGAGGAGGAGGAGGAGGTGGACGATGACGACGACGAGGAAAAAAACTAAATGTATGATCACAGGGGGGGCGACCATATATATATATATATATATATATATATATATATATATACACACACATGCATACAAACATACATACATACATATATATATAATATCCCTCCTCCTGCTCCTCATCATATTTCCTCTTCCCGCAAATTTCCCCTTCCGGTCTTCTCCTCCTCCTTTTTCACCTCGATATCCTCCTCCTCCTCCTCCTCCTCCTCGGTCGGTCGGTTGGAACATCAAAACAGTTAAGTGCGCTGCCTATCCTACGTGCAACGGAACAATATAGGTGGAAGCAAAGAAGAAGAGCTGCGGCAAGGACTGTCACAAAAAGAAAGCAAAGACGAGGGCGAAGGGGGCGAACGACGAGGGGGACTGGAACATGAGTGTGAGGAGGAAGAAAGAGACGAGGACAACGAAGCGGAAAGCAACCAACATGGACAACAAAGGCGCTGCTGACGACGTCGAACATAGCGCGGTGGCAATGGCATGGGGGCCCCGTGCGCCTAGAACAAGCCGCCGAGACAGCATAACCCCCCCGAGCGTACGAGGTCGGGTCGGCTTCGCCGAAGAGCACGGAGCACGATCTTCGAGCGGACGACACCGAGATTAGGAAGCCGCGAGCGTGACCATTCGAAGGTCCGAGCGGATTTCTCGATTCGGAGCTGACCCCTCTCCATGGCGAGCGGATCGAGACAGGGGCGGCGCTGGGGGCATCGCTGGGAGGGTGCAGCGCAGATCCCAAAAATACGCGCGGACCTCCAACGGCTTGTGCTTAAGTAATTGTTTATGATTCGTCTTCTTCTTCGAGTGATCGAGAGGACCAACAGAATGTCACGGGGCACCCCGCTTGCCAGGACCAGCGAAGGGGGCATTGTCGCACAAAGGCCGCGCGTCGAGCCGCTCCGCCAGAAGACGCGCCGCCGGCGGCGCTTGCCCGACACGTCTGGCGCGAGGGGGCCTGGGCCACGATTCTGC